ACCTAAAAGGTGCCCCAGATCTGGGTGTAGAATCTTCAATAATAACCCAAACAAGGACCCAAAAATTTAAAGCAAGCAAGTCAAACAAAGAAAGCAAGTAAAGGTGATCTAGACCTAAGGTAACCCCACTTTTAAGTATCTTCATCTCCAGCAGAGTCGCCAGTTCTGTAGGACGGTGGGAGAACTGACTTGGGTGTTTTGTGTTTGATCGCAATTGTTGCGGATAGCAAGAGTCGCCATCGACTTTTCTTTTATCCAACAAAGGAAAGGTTGAAAATAACAGGAAAGACCTTTAGAGATGTTTTCTTGAGTTAGGGGGTCATCGAGGGACTACGATCTTTTATTGAGGGTCTTTTCTAAAACGCTCATATTCGAGAGGCATGGCTATTTTTTCGAGGCAACAAGTGAGATTACCCTAGAGATGCATGTGTGTAAAGTGTGTTTGATTGCATGCATTTTTGTCTTTGATTTATGGGTTGTCTAGTTGTTGGTTTTATCTTGCCATACATCATAATTACTAACATTTATATAAAGCAATAAAAATGCAGAAAATAAATATCTTACACTATTACAACCATATTGAATAACAAGAAAATATAAAGACAAAACAAAATAAAAGAAAGGAAAATAAGTTCTTCGATTAGGTAGAATGCACCCTTCGATTCTGCTCTTCCTGGATTCTTTCAATTTGGGCCCAACAACCAGCGTGAAACGGACCCTTTGATTCAACCTTCTTGCTGCTGCTTTCGATTGGGGTCTAGAAGTCAGTGTGGACATCTTTCGTTTCTCCCTTCCCGCTCCTTCGTTTGGACTATGAAGCAATATGGGCCTACAAAGCAGCATGAGAGTGTATCCTCTATTCACGCCCTCTTTGTCTTTCGTTTGGGACTGTGAAACAGTAAGGGGGCGAAGCCTGAGGCTTCGTTTCACACACAACTTCTTCTTTCGTTTGGTGTCTACACAGGTTAGTTCTATCATATATTTGGACAAGAAAAAACAAAATAAAAAAGGGAGAAACGAAAAAGCAAACAAATGGTATTTACATGTTATGTTTGAAACGAAAAGCTTAAGATTAAGAGGACTTACCCTGCTTGATGCTGGGGTGAGTGGATCGGACCTTGAGGTGCTGCCCTGGGTGCTCCTAGATTCAAAGGGAAGAAAAAAATATGGTGTTTCTAATGTTGGATTCGAAGGCCAAGAAGAGTGGAGTTTGTGCTTGTTGTTTCTGGATTCGAAGGAAAAGAACAGGTGTAGTGTTTCTTTGTTGTATTCGAAGGAAAGAACAAAGCGTGGGGCTGCTCCTGGATTCAAAAGGGAAAAGAAACAGGGGTTGTGTTTCTAGTGTTGGATTCGAAAGGAACAGAAACAAAGGTATGGTCTTTTGATTCTGGGTTTGAGGATGTGTTAAGTGTTTGATGATTTTCACACACTCATAGTTTCTCCAGCTATCAAAAGCCTCTGGATGTGTTGTCCAACCCCCTTAGATATGTTATGAAGCCTCTTATTTACAGATGAAGTTGGTTGAGGTTTAGGAGGAAAAATAAAAGAGTTTGAACAAATTGAGTATATTGTCTTTGTAGCTTTCGAGGGGCAGTATTTGTATGCCAAATTAGTGCAAATACATGAGCAGTGTAGCAGGACTGGTGTGCGGCAGTTTTGGAGCGTTATGGCAAGTGCATCAGGCTTGAACTTGCAGCAAGCATCTTTGAATATTTCATCTTTTCGTTTCGACCTCATAGGTCCAACCTTCGACCATACTCCTCTTCAGACATCAATATTTGTTTCCAATCAAAGTGTCCTTCGAATGGGTCCTTTGTGTATCCTTCGAAGGGGCCAAATGTATGCTCCTTGAATGGGCCACCAAAATATGTCCTTCGAATGGAACATCCAGGTATGTCTTGTATGTCCTTCGAATGGGCCACCATAATATGTCTTTCGAATGGAACATCCAGGTATGTCTTGTATGTCCTTCGAATGGGCCACCATAGTGCAAAAGCTGTGTGTGTCGAAATAAACTGTTTCCAAAGGAGATACTTCCCAGTCGAAGCTAGCGTGAAAGTAGCCAATGCTTTGTGGGCGTCATTGCCTTGTGAATGCTATCCATGGTGAAGCTTTTGCCTTGTGAATGTTGGTCTGAAGGAAGTCCTGGATTTTGTGAATCGAAGGAATCATGCCATGGGTAAATGGCTTCTGAATCGAAGGAAAGCTGCAGGAGGCCATTGCCTTCTAAATCGAAGGATACTTTTAGAAAATCATTTCCCTATGAATTGAAAGGAACCAACATCAAGTCATTAACTTCTGACTCGAAGGGAGCTTTTAGAAGGCCCATGCCTTCTAAATCGAAGGAAACTAGTATGGAGCCACTAATCTTTTGAATCGAAGGACACCAACAGAAGGCCTTTGTCTTCTGAATCGAAGGAAGCCTAGACGTCCAACCGAAGGACGAATCAAGCTTGTTCGAAGGAAGCCTAGATTCCCAATCGAAGCTATGATGAATCGAAGGAAACTTTCTTTTCTTCAAAAAATCATTTTTATATGCTTTGCCCTTTTTGTAGTTTCCTCTTTAACTTGATGCTGAAAAATCCAATTGTACTTGTGCAAGCTTGAATTTTTTAGAATCCTTGTGAGAAATACCTTGAGAAATGAGAGGGAAAATTTTGGACTACAACACTTAGGATGGAAAGTCATTTTACCTATGGATCGAAAGAATAAAGCGTTAGGAAAATGGTCTCCATATTGGGAAGGACCTTTTCGGATCTTAAAGGAATTCTCAAACAACACTTATGAAGTAGAGGAGTTAGCGGAGGATCGAAGAATCCTGAAAGTAAGTGGGAAATACTTAAAGAAGTATAAACCATTTTTGCAGAAAGTAAAAATCATGGCATGAGAATAAGCAACAAAAGTATGTATAGTCAAAATGGTGATCCAATTAATTGCCAAAATGGCTTTGCCTGAAATATCTACCTTTAGAGTCAACTTCTAATTTTGACTCATCTTCAGAAATTTCATATTCATCTTCTGATTCTGACTCATATTCAAACATTCCAAAATGAGAAAGTTTCTGAAGTTGTCATCAGAAGTTGTTATTAGTCAGAAGTGGTTATTATGAATATATCGAAATTCAAAGTTGTTATTCAAAAATGACTATTTCTTTATGTAACGAAATACACATTTTTGAGGGGGCAATTTGTTAGCTGGGAATTTCGATTATACAAGTTTTAAGGCTTTTTGATCGAAGAAAGAGTTGTTCGAGGGAAAGTATAAGAAGGTTTTTATGGAATCTTCGATTGATGAAGAGCTAGTAAAGAGTTTTACTATATTGAATCATTATCGAAGTTTTCATCTTCGAACTGTGGAAATATAAATTATTCAAAGCATTACAAAGAAAGATATTTCGACTGTCATGTTGTTTGAATTGACACTTCGAAAAGAAGAAGATTTCAAATTCAAAAGCTTCGATCTTATCCAAAGAGACGCGTGGAAATCTAATAGTTCAAAAGACATGAAATCTTCGAACGTGGCATGTTTTCGTAGAAGGACCGTTATGGTCAAATCAGTATAAATAGAAGTCTTAGATGTTAGAAAAAGGTGTGTTCGAATTGTATACAAAATTATATTATACTCAAAGTACCGGAGCGAGAGAAACGAGCTTGTTGATAATGTATGTGTAAGAACACCACCAGTTTTATTCAGAATTAATTTCTCAGTACAAAGTCTTTAATCACTTTTATTCCTTTTTCGTCTCCAGTCTAGTCTTTTAACAATTTTATTAAACTTTTCTTATTAAGCATTGTCTTTATATTTTCACAAATTTCCATACTATTCCCTTTAAAGTCATATTTAAGATTCATAGCCAAACTTTAAACATCTTGAGATCATTGTAACCATAGAAAAACCTTGTTATTATCCGTACAATATTTTCTTTCGAATCAGACTGTAAGAACACTAAGACTATGTCTTAGGATCAGAAATCACTGGTAAACAAGGGTACAATTAGAAGATTAAATATAAAATTGCATCGATAATCTAAAGTGATAAGTATTTTTGGATGATTTTTTTTAAATGTGACACTTATTTTGGAACGAAGGGAGTAATTAATAAAGCTACCTTCTAATTTATATAAAATCTCATGAGTCAACTTCAACAAACCTTCTCTGAACTTTTCTCTCTTTTCATTCATCTTTTTTTGGGGTGATTTTTGGGTATTCTTGGCTTAAAATCACCCGACATCGTTTTTTTCTCTCTTTTTATTTAAATAAGTGATTATCCACATAGATTTTCTTATTCCTTTTTGTGTTTTTTTTTTAAGTTTTCGTTGTTTTGTGCAATGTTTATTAATTTTTCTATTTTATTACGGTGTTCGTTGATTCAGATTCTTCACTTCAACTCATTACAAATCTGATGAATATTTGAACGTCAATGTTGCAGATCCGAAATGATGAATATTCCAATTATTTTTATTTTGTCATATTTATAAATACTTTCATGTTGTTATTGTATGCTATTAACTTAGATATTGTAAGATTGTTTGCAATTTCACCTTTTCAAGTTTTTAACAATCTTGAATTTAAATATATAATAATTAATGTATTTTTCAATTTGAATGAATTAATATTTTTCTTAATTAAAAAAAAATTTACATAAAAATCTTAAAAAATTACTTCCATTTAACGAACATTTTTAATCTACTTAAAATTAATGATTTTATGTAACTAACTAGGTGAGCATAATTTAACTTTCTTCTTTGAGGCTTTTAAAGAAAGAGAGTTAAGCTAAGGTTCAGTTGTTTATATTTATTTATAGAGAAAAAAAAAATTTCCGTTCTCCCCCTCTTTCTCTCTCTCAAGCGACTCTTCCGTCTCCCCCAAGTTCTTTCTCCGCATATTTCGAAAACCCTTCGATTCATTCAGCACAAAAAGTAGCATATAAACTTCAAATTCAAATAATAAAAACAAATATAGCAATTTTATTTATTTTTAAAAAATTAAAAAAGAGAAAATATGTCTTGGCTCTTCAAGTCCAACCACCCTAATCCAGAATCTTCCATTCTTCACCCCGCCGTCATCAACTCCTCTTCGCCGCCCTCCACCGCCGTTGATCACGGCGTCAAGGAAGACCTATCAATCATTTTCCGCGGCGTCGCCAACTTCCTCGCTCCACCTCCCTCATCATCTTCTTCCTCCGGTGAGTCCACCGCACCTTCCATAACTCTCACCGGAATCCGGAACGATCTTGTGGAGATCGGAGGAAGTTTCAGAAGCTCACTCTCACTTCTCTCCCCGAGAAAAGCCGTCACCGGAATCTCCAAGCTAGCTTCTCAATTGTTGCAGTCGGAGTCCGATCATGAAGAGGTTGACGGCGGTGCTGTGCCCGGAGCAACGGAGGATGTTGTTCGTTTCGTGAAGGAGATTTCTACTCGGCCCGAGTGTTGGACTGAATTCCCCTTTCCACTCCATAATGGTACTTCAACTTTGCATCCTTATTCTTTGATATTTGTTCTCATAATCTGATTATGATGAAAAAAGATTGTGATTGCTTTTATTTGCTGGAATTTTATGGAATTAATATAGATTATTGAATTTGTTCAAATGTAACTGATGATTTAACCTCGTGATGTGCTTTCTGTGTTTGTTGAAGTGATAACTTGGTTTGTATATCAATTGTTAACTTGGTTTGTATACCATAATGCAATGTAACTGAAAAGGTCTCGGGTTCAATTCCTTTAAGAAAAAGCAATGTTAACAAATAAGTCTTGAGTTTAGTTCCTTAAAGAAAAAGCAATGTTAACAACAAAGGTCTTGAGTTCAATTTCTACATGTAATTATTCATTGGTGGTAGGTAATCTATTAGTGCACCATGACACTAGAGCAGGGCAACAACCTCTCCTTGGTCTGAACTTTTTCTTGCATCATTAAAAAAACTATTTTCTTTTTGAATGTGAAGGGTACACTGATTTTTTCCTTGGATGCTGTAATTTGTGGTCCATTTTGTTTTATGTTAACACAGTAGAAGAAAGGGAACCCCCTTATACAAGTCTTAGGAGAGTTATATTTGTCGGGGTTGTTGGGCTTGGCATGATAATGGCGGTACATGAGAATTCATGCTTACTTGAAACTATCTAATGAACAAATGGGATGTCAATTTCGTTAAATTTTACCAAGACAACTTGAATTTATCTCTTTTTTTGGCATTTTATTCTTGAATATGTATCTTTTGTTATTTAGCTATTAAGCTCTCGTTCTGGAGGTGTTGGTTTAGTGGTAAGAGTTTGACATTCTAACTTCAAGAGACAAAATTCAAATTCCACCCGGGAAAGTTGTAAAATGATATTTAGTGTCACTGTTAATAATAATATTTTTCTCTACCCCAATTTTTAGAAAAAAAGCTATTAAGCTCACAACTCAAAAGGTTCATATGCAAGTGCTTAACAAATTTTGGAAAGACTTGAAGCTTCATCTCACTCATTATGACATGTTTCATGGATAACTCTTACTATTATTGTTTAATGTTTTTGTGTTGTTTGTATCCTTAATGCTATTGCTGCTATATAACAAAATGCTGTTTTATTTGCCAAAATTTAGTACTTTTGAGTTGGACGGCATTTTTATTTCCAATACTGTATTCTTGAAAATCGACCTCTTAGAATCATGTTAGGGCAAATTTCTATTAAAAAACAAATGCAATGTTCTATTCAAATAAGTTATTTTCTCTATGAAGCTAGTTGACACTTCCTGTCAATATAAAGTCCAAAGTTCATGTGTTTTCTCAGCATATAGACTTATAAATACTCACTGAAAAAAATTGTTTTAATTCTTGATTCTTTAAGTAACATGAATACAAAGCAAAAATGAAGAAAAGTGAGTGTTTTTTGCGTAATTGTGTTCACTACCCACAAATATATAAGATTGGCAGATATTAATATCGAAATTTAATTTCTTTTTCAGCAGATTGCAGCCTTTCTAATTCTCAGAGAGAACATGCACTGGCTATGGAACAACTGGTGCCTGAATTTGTGACACTTAGAATGAACCTTTGCAGTTACATGAATGTGGAAAAGTTTTGGATGATCTATTTTTTGTTAATACTTCCAAGACTTAATCAGCATGACTTCGAGTGCCTATCAACCCCAAAGGCAAGCTATGTTTATTCAATATTGTCTTACTTTCAATTGTTTCATACGAATAGCAAGACCAAGACCAAGCGTGTGTTAAATACTTAAATTCCTTTGATGTGTGTGCAGTCATTAGCTTTTTGAAGCCACCTTTTTATGTGTGTCCAGTCATTAGCATGTCAGTCATATTCAATCATTAATACTCTGTGAAACATGTTTGATGTATTTTCTGTTGTCGGTATTGTGACTTACAAAACCGCAAACTATTGTGCGGTTTTCTGAACATGTGTAGTACACATTCGTAATAAAATTTGTTGCTGCCAGGAGAACACAGCAGTATAAATGAAGCATTGTGGTATGATGTTCAGATAACCTTTGCGATATGCTCGTGTCTAGGGGTGGCAAACGGGCAATGCCCGCCCCGTTTAGACCCGCCCTGCAAAAATCCGCAGAAAAACGGGGCGGGGCGGGCATAGTTGAGGATGATGACCTAAAACCTAGGCCCGTTCCCCAAAAAAGTGAGTGCGGGGCGGGGAAAGCCCGCGGGCACTGCACCTTTTAGGCTTAAAATTGCAAAATTTTATGCTAATAATCATGTCCGTAAAAGCCCGCGAAGAAAATGGGGCGGGGCGGGGCGGGGCGGTCACATTAGAGGGTGAGGGCCTAAATTCTTGACCCGCCCCGCACTAAAGTGCGTTTAAAACGGGTATGCCCAACGAGCCGGACCCGTTTTGCCACCCTTACTCGTGGCATTCTCTCATTATGATTTGGTTATATTAAATATTGTCAAATTGCTTGGTCTATTGCACTGCACATTTGTGTAATTGAAGATGATTTTATAGATAGTTATGGCTTTTACTCTATGTTTAGGTGTTAGATAGAAACATTTTCTAAGGCCTTGTTTGGGAGGGGATGATACATAATTAGGTCTCACTTGCTCGGGATGAGGGAGTTTTTAAAACAGAGGTAACTGATATGGGGATTTTTTAAAACCTCCCTCAAAAGCCCTCTTTCAGTGGTTTTTTTAATTCCCTATATTTGATGATTTACCCTTCTTTCTAATCAAGGCGAGAGATTATGCTTCTTTGTTTGGGAGCGTTTTAAAACTAGGTGAAGGGTTTGAGGAGTTTCTGGTGGGAGCCTAACATCCATCCTCCCCTTCCCCTCCCTTTCACCCCAACCATTTCCTCCAGTTTCTCTTCTAACTTCCACATAGTTTAGTTTCCTCCATTTTCTCTTCTAACTTCCACATAGTTTAAATGTCTGCTATATCATGTATATATATGTTTTTCTCTTTTTATTTTGTTAGATTGTTGAAGCAAGAGATGTTCTCCTACGGAAACTTGAAGAGAGGAACGATATACATGCTGGAGAATGCGACAATTCAGGTATTATGGATACACATCAAGAGGGTAGGGAAGACAGTGGAGCAGAGAGTATCACATTAGATCAAAACCAGATATTGGCCGAAACTACAAATGCAATAAAGGGTTTAGAAATTGATGACACGACAAATAGTGAAAAATGGCTGACAGATACAGATATCGATGCTACTTCCTTGACTTCCTGTACAAAGCATCAACCGGAAGAAGACATCTCATTCAGTGACTTGGAGGAATACGGCAGTTATAGCTCTGATAATAAATTATCAAGCCACGGGGAGGTCTTCAGGGGCTCATCACCTGAAGGTTCGAGTGGCTGGGTTCAGCTACACGAAAACAAGAGAGATGGCCGGCAGAAAGCTATCCATTTAAAAGGTAAAGATTCTGAAGATGAATCAAATGACTGGCTCGATGTTGACGAGTTTCATTAAATAAAAGGTTTCTCTTTACTTGCAAAGGTACAGCATTTTTTTCTTTCTTTTCGACTGCTCTGTATTTATATTTTGGGGTTGCAAATTCCTATAAATTAAAGCGTTTCTTATGGTATAATTATAATTCGAAATGAAGAAGTTTCCATCACCTGGTCATTATTACTGATAAGCTTTTATTAGGGGTGGGCAGATGAGAATCGTTGAAATACCCAATACTATTAGGCGTCTTGCGAAGCAAAGTATTTTTTTTATATATAAATATGTAGACAGATCAACAATGCAGACATAATATGTGAGGTCATAGGTTCGAGCTTAGGTGATGACGTTCAGCGTAATAATATCGGCAATTCAATGCTATCCACGTTGTGTAGCAATTTTCTAAAACATGCACAAGCCTAGAGTAGTAACATTGATAAATGTTTGGAACTCAATAAATATAAGTATGAATATTCTTTTTTGGTTGACCTAATATACAATAATTGGTCAAAAAAGCATTGCAAAAAATAAAGCCAGATCATAGCCAGCCTCGAGAGCTTATCTCCAGCATGAAGTCAACAAAGGACTATGGCACATAAATGCAAGTATAATGTAAAAGACGATGGCAAAAATAATCATAAGTGTAACCCTGCAAAAACAAGAGAGGAAAAAACGTTAGAATTGGAAACTTAATAAAACAAAAAAAACTCAACCCCCAATATTAGAAACTGACACTTACGTTAGCCTAACATTCATCCACCACATGTTATTCTTATACCGACGAGACTGACTTTTGAAACGAATTGAATTGCTGTTCATTGCTGAAGTTTTCTCAACCAGCATTTCCAAACGACCACCTCTTTCCAACACTTTCTCAATGTTATCAATCATAACAGTTCTCACCTATAATTATCACACCATAGATGCTTATTTAGATGCTAATATAATTACATGGAACAAATCGATGAATATGAAGTTAGTTAATTACCTGAGTCATTTCACCTTTGAGACGGTTTAATCTGTCAGCATTTGGATCAGTAGAATAATAATCCATCTGTTGGCTAAGAACCCTCGAGAATTCATCATTCATGGTATAGGCTGGAGCTGAAACAATTGCACGCGCATATGTCTTCACAAATCTATTATGAATATCTTCAAGAAACGAAAATGGAATCCTCCCTGCAGTAATTTGAAACACAAGATTTGTTCAAATTCAAATCAATATTGGTAAAGAGAAAGAGAGAGAAGAAATTGAAGCATACTTCCTAATGCTTCTTCAGCCATACAAAGAACCGTGAGGCCATCGGTTCTCTTGACATGAAAAACATAACGATCATGAGAAAATGAAACATTGCTATCATTGTAATTATCAGTCCCTTGATTAATCTTGTTAAGTATTTGTTTAGCTACAACACTTGCATTGCTTTGATTAGCGCTAAACTCAGCCAAAACAACCTCTCCCCTAGCCACCATTCCATATAATATCCCCATTGATGATCAAATTATGTAACTTGTGAAGTGAAAGATGAGTTTTTTTTTTTGAAGTTTAAGGTAAAGGGTTGTTATTTTTGTTGTTGGATGGAGAGAAGATAAAAAGTGTAACGGAATTGGTTTTGGAGAAGGTGCAAAAACAACAAAACCAAAACCAAGACGAGGAAGAAGAGAAAACAAAGTAACCATTTTGATTAGATACGATGTCCTAAAATGGGTGATATTGTGTTTGGGGTAAACGACAGTTTGGAAATTGGGTAGGAAGCACTACATCGTAATCGTACCTTTTTTTATGTTATGTGTGGCATTTTTGGTGCCATTGTAATTTGCGGAAAAATAGGAAGGATTGTTGTTTGGAGTTTGAACAACTTCACTATATAAAGATTTGTAAAAAATAAAGATTAAGTGTGTTTTTTTGTCATTTACATTTTATTCGTTCAATCAAGTTTGTATACTTTGAACTTTACATTTTTATTTATTTTATACGAAGGTATTCTTTTTTTTCGCACTCTAGTTTTCAGAGAATTAGAGTTTTAATAATTTAAAATTTGTGCCAAGAACACTAGTCAAGCATTACTTCCACCTAAAAATCAAATATGATATTCTCCATATTACATCTTTATAGACCTCTTTTATCATATATTTTATTTTACTCGTAGGAATGTATCATACACGTAATTGCGACTCTTGTAAAATTAGTTGATAGCTGGTAGCTCATGACTGATAGTTGATAAGTTAATTTGACTGTTTGATAAATTAGCTGATAAATACAAAATGATATAAAAGAACATTCTTATTAAAAAATTTGTATTTTATTTATCTTATTATATTTATATTATTAAACTAATTTTTATTTAATAAAAATAAATATACTAATAAAAACATGTAAAACAATTTTAATATATTTGAAAATTTTAAGATAGCATTAAAATATATTAAATTTATATATAAATTTTATTATAAAACTCAACGAAATATATGTAATTTGAATTAAATTAAATTAAAATAATATATATTTTTTTTTAATATTTTATCATAAAAATATAATAAATTTTTGAATTTTCTTCGTTTTAATAGATATTATTAATTCTCTTACGATGTTTCACTAACTTGAGAATTATCAATACTATCTCAGAATTAATTATATAATTTAGATATTATTTAAAATATAAAATATTTCATCATCTTGTAAATTGACGAAAATTTATATATATATATATATATATATATATAAGGGTAAGAATGAATTTTTGTTAAAATAATAAGAATATGAATAAAAGAAAAAGTCACAAGTTAAAAATTATAAACTCAAAAATTATTTTAAATAATTTTTGAAAAAAAAAGTCAAAGACTAATAAAAAAACTAAAAACTAAAAATAGTTACTAAATAAAGCTTTTTTATTTATATAAATTGAAAAACTAAAAGTTACAAGCTAAACCTCTTTTTGTGATGTTACCAAATAGACCCTGCGTAAGTTCATAAACTAGTTTTGGGAGATATTTAAGAGATTGACCTCCTTTAAAGATATGTTTTTCTATGTAATAAATATTAAATAATTATTACTACTTTGTCTACGTAATAAAAAAATAAAGTAAATATTTCAATAAAATAATAGCGCACCAACATAATGTAAAGAGTTAGTAACAAACAATGATATAGCATATCGATCTTTTGCGAAATTATATATTAGAATCATCATTCTTTCGTTGATGTTAGTGAAATTTTTTTTTTAAATAATTTTTTTTCTTCCTATTTTACGAAAAAAAAATTCTTCTCCAATAAAAATTTTGAGTTTGATATTTTGGTCAATCCATTAGACAATCAAATGTTAAATAAAAAAGATAACAAATATTTTGTGAGACTATATAAATAATTTTATGACGAGTATAAAGAAGTTAAATAATGAGGATATCACAAAACATCTATTGGAAAGCTAATATTTTAACTATAGTAGATTATCCAACCTTGATTGAAGAGTATAAATTTAGAGTTAGTTGCAGTGGTTTAATCTGTATGATATAGTGGAGAGAAGTCTGATATGCAATGTAATCACTCCAACGTGTAAGTTAATAAGATAGTGAAAAATGAAGTTTGAATGGGTAAGAATTTGAATAATTGAGAAATGCACACTCTCTTCTTTAAATAGGAGAATTGATTAGCAATCAAATGTGTGTGGTGAGGCGTGTGATGTTGTAAGCCGTCAGATCAATCTGGACAACTCAAATAACATTTAGGAGAGAAATTACTTGTTTGGAATGAGAAATGGGGTCCACCTATTTTCGCCAAACGTTACCTCGTGTTGTTATTGTTGAGAAACAAGTGTGAGTTGTGTTGAGAAATAAGTGTGAGTTTTAAGTCTCACGCTGTTTGAAAAAGTGAAGGTTGACTGTAACATCTCATTTTTGATTTATTGAAATTATTTGATTTATTATAAACTTTGTATATTTATTTAATTATTGAGTAATATTAATTAAATAAATATGGGTGATAAGAGTGTGTGACCCTATGGTGGGAGTGTAGGGAGTAATTAGGATTGTATGTGTTTGAATAGAGATTTACTTGCGTATAATTTACCTAGTCTGAGCTGGGCTCAGTTAATAAATGACAGTCAATAGTGACATGTTCTTGGACTCCACAAATCTCACAATCAGGAGTCAGTGTAACTATGGTAACTGGAGGGGTAATGGTCAAGTTATTGATCTTTTGGATAAGTGCGTCTATTTTCGCTTTCATGTGATCGAAGCTGCTCACTCTATATATACCACCCTTGGGCTGTGTCTTTCCAACGAGGCACACTCAGTTCCCCATTGATAGTGATTTTGAGTCATATTCTATATGAGTTGATAGGCTTCATTGAAGGGTTTATTCATCAAGGCTCCTCATGCCGCAACCTCGACAGTCATCCTCGTGTTATAGAGAAGACCATTATAGAAAATGTGAATTATTAGCCGCTTTTCTACACCATGATGGGGATAAAGTCTCTTAATGTCCTTGTGTCTATTCCACGTCTCAAAATGTGACTCGCTGCCAGTCTGTCTAAAATAGATTATCTGGTTTCTCAGAGCTGCGATTTTACTTGGCAAAAATATCTTGCAAAGAACACCTTTTTTAGTTCATTCCATATCGTTATAGAATTTTATGGCAGGGTCTGTAGCCAAGCTCGAGCTCTGTCCCTCAGGGAGAAAGGAAATATGCGCAACCAAATAACTTCAGGGTCTACACAATTTCTCTTTAATTTGCCAGCATACTGCACGAGTACAGAGAGATGCAAGTTTGGGTCCTCCGTAGGGTTACTGGAGAACAGATTTTGCTGCACGATTTACAGCAGAGAGGGTTTAAACTCAAAGTTGTTAGCCTGGATCGCAGGGTTAATAATGATCGAGTGGGGCTCGTTCTGAGATGGGACCACAAAGTCCTTAAGAGAACGAGCTTCGTTTTCAGCCATTAGGATATTGTATTGAGCACGAAGTTGGTCTATTTGGCGTCTAAGGTGGAGAAAACACTCAATTTCGTTTATCGATTGCTCTAATTC